TCTCTCTCTCTCTCTCTCTCTCTCTCTCTCTCTCTCTCTCTCTCTCTCTCTCTCTCTCTCTCTCTCTCTCTCTCTCTCTATGAAAGTGATGTGCACGTGACTGCCAGCGACGACTAAAAACAGGAAAAGATAGAATGGAAAAAGGGTATAATTCTAGGCTACCAGCCGGGCGGCCCCGGTCCCGGGTGGCCAGCCCGTGCAAGGACCAGGGAAGGTCCCAGCAAAAAAAAAAAAAAAAAACAATTCCAAAAAAGCCGAAAAAAAAAATGTTATGCAGAAAAATAAACTGAACAACTTTTGCCTCAGGGTCACATCGACATTCTTCACCAAATTTAGAATAAAAATTAAAATTTAAAAATATTTTGTTCTATTTTTTATTATTATTATTTTTTGGCCCGGCCGGGCACGTGACCCCGGGCCACTCTGGTAGCCTAGGTATAATTACGATAATAGGAAAATGAATATTAAATTGAAATTTTGAAGGAATTTAAGACAGGTAAAAGGTGATCCTTTTCTTCAATTTTGAGTTTTCTAAATAAAATTTAATAAATCTTCAGACCGTTCTTGGTCATATCATCGTTTGCATCATCTGTGGTTGTTCATTCACCTGTCCATGAGCGCTCCCACCATCTTCATTTTTGTTTTTGGCATTTTTGGCATTTTTTGGCGTTTTTTGGCATTTTTAAAGATTTTTTGGCATTATTTGGCATTTTGTTTTCTACTAAAAGTGATTTGATGGCTTTCTGTCATGTTGCGTGCAGGAATCTGCTGGGTAATCCCGAGCTTAGTCGGCTGTGGCAGTGGGCGCAGGCCAACCCGGTGAGTGTGCACTGTGCAGACTGCCTGACGTCAGGTCCGAGGGGCATAAACAGCCGTCGTCTCCCGCTCCCTGAACGCGACACACACATACACTCATCATGACCGTATCAGACCGGAAAACTAGCGTGTATACATTCATGATTAGGGTGCGTGGTGTTGGAAGGAAGGTGGGTAGCGACTGCTATTGAACATGGGTACCCATCTGGACGGTCTGGACTGGGTCCGCACGTCCAGATCTGATGCGGATCCGGGGTAGTGTTTTGATTTTTTTTTTCAAGTTTTGAATTCTCAGTTTTTTTTTTTTTTTTTCCTGGCAACGCGTCAGAATATCTATTTTTTCTTGGTCTCTTGATTTTTTTTCGAAAATTTCAGAAATCAAAATTTGGGGGAAAAAAGCGTGCTTAGAATGCAAATGAAGGCAGCTCTGAACGTCCAGATTATGGACCCGAGACCCCAAAATGGATGTCTGGATGGTAACCATGCTATTGAATTTAAAAAGGGTCAAAAAAAAAAAAAAATTCTCTTTTTTTTCTCTCTTTTCTTTTGTTTCGTTTTCCTACGAGCAGCAGCCCTAAGGGCCTTGCTCCACTCGTCACTACTTGCACAAAAGACAAAACATATGGCGGCTTATAGCTGTCTCTTATACACATCTAGATGTGTATAAGAGACAGGTGTGTGTGTGTGTGTGTGTGTGTGTGTGTGTGTGTGTGTGTGTGTGTGTGTGTGTGTGTGTGTGAGAGAGAGAGAGAGAGAGAGAGAGAGAGAGAGAGAGAGAGAGAGAGAGAGAGAGAGAGAGAGAGAGAGAGAGAGAGAGAAAGAACAGTTAAGTGTGTTTGTGTGTGTGTGTGTGTGTGCGTGCGCTGCCGCCGCTGCCGCGCTGTGCCCTCGTCCGCGCGCGCCGCGCGGACAACGCACTTGTGAGTGTGAGTGTGAGTGTGAGTGTGTGTGTGTATGTGTGTGTGTGTGTGTGTGTGTGTGTGTGTGTGTGTGTGTGTGTGTGTGTGTGTGTGAATGTGTGTGTGCGGGCGCGTGGTGGGTGCCGAGGGGGATTCATAGTCTGAAGCGTTGGATCGAAGTCATTGAGCAGCAATGTGACCGTTTAAACACGCTGAACTCACGTTCGCGTTCTTACATGAGCGTTCAAACGGCCGGGGGCTGCATTCAAATGCGTTCAAATGCGCTACGCGCTACGTGTCGCGAGTTTTTTGAAAGCAGCCCCCCCATCCGCATGCGCGTATGGCAGATTACGGGTGGGGGATTTGGTTCTTCAAAAAAAAAAAAAAAAAGAGTGTGGCAGTATATATTTTCATGTTCTAGCGGTAGATTCATTCGATTTTGCTCATACAATGGATGAAAGTACCATGAGGTTGGCTGCGCCGTTCGAGACTCTGCGCCCTCTCTCTCTCTCTCTCTCCCTCTCTCTCTCTAATTTTCTCTCTCTCTCTCTCTCTCTCTCTCTCTCTCTCTCTCTCTCTCTCCCTCTCTCTCTCTCTCTCTCCCTCTCTCTCTCTCTCTCTCTCTCTCTCTCTCTCTCTGTGTCTCTGTCTCCTTCTCTCTCTCTCTGTGTGATGTGATGGTCGGAAAAAAAAAATCATCTGGGAACCTACTTGATGCTGCAGAAGCGACGCCTGTTGGCTGATGTAGAAGAATACCATGGACAAAAGAAGAAGAAAAAGACGACGACAAGGAGGTCGAGGATGTCAACGAGGCAGTCGTGGAAATCGTTTGGCTTGCTAATTTATCTGACGTCATTCAGTGACATTCACAGCTAGATTCTGTCAGAAAAGTTTATCAAAAAGTTCAGAAAACGCTACTGGTAGTGTGCACAATGCCGTATGGATATGCTCTCCTCCTCCGCATCCTTTTTGTCTTTTGGGCAGAAACGTTTTCTACTGTGCCATATGGTTCAAGTGATGGTGCTTCTGCTTCGTTAAGATTTTTTGCATTCCCTAGAATACAACACATCCTCACCTGACCCTGAAGCTGGGTTGTATACATTCACGATTTTCGTTGGTTTGACACAACATTCATGAAATCGCGACTCAAAAACACGTTTTCAAACTGAAACCGTGACAGCGCCCTAGTTTTCCCCCCAAAAAATAACACTCGCTGTACCACTCAGCAACGGTTCAAAATGAGAATGTATCTCCACCAAGGTCCACGTGCCAGATTTCGTGTCTTCGCATTTGGTGAGTGGTACGGCGATGCCGGTGAACTTTCAAAAAAAAAAATCGAAGCAAAGATTTTGGGAAAAAAAAAGAAAGACAGGAAATTGATTGTATTCATTGTAGAGTGGTTTGTTGTTTGCTCACCCTTTGTTAGTTTTTACCCCCTTTGGGCATTTAACTTCTTTTTTTTTTTTTTTTTTTTTTTTGGCATTGAACTTTGGCTTTCTAGGCGGCAATTTCAGCCCTTTTCTGAACGGCAATTGTCAGGGTTTTGGGGGTTCCCCCCATTTTTTCCTGTTTTTTTCCATCCCAAAAAAAAAAAAAAAAAAAGAACAACCGGGATATTGGACCTTTTGATTTCGGCAAAACAAAACCGCCGAAATTGCGGCCGGGAATTTTAAAGGTAAATCCCCCCCACCCCCACCCACCCACCCACCCAAAAAAAAAAAAGGAAAAAAAAGAAGAAAAAGAGATTAATGCCCATAAAAAGGACTACTAGTTCTCAGTCATTTTCTTCGAATGGAAATCACAAATTCGTTTCGTGTGACGCAACGATGAATGTGCAGGATGTCCTTGTGGATCGGGACCGCGTAAAAGTGCCCTCCATTTTGGAATACTGGAAGCCCCTGGCAGACGATGTAAGTTCATTTTTTTTAACGTAACTTGGCTTAGATCCCCCTTTTTTGTGTGTCTCCTAATTTGATATTTTATTTTTATCATTTTGCATTTCCGTTGCGAATTTGATATTTTATTATTTTTATCATTTTGCATTTCAGTAGTTGTTTGCCGTGAGTCGACCATGGTTACCACCATGGCAGAGGCGGATGTTTAGGCTCCAGGAAATTGGAACGATACAGAGAAGGAAGATTAGCATGGCCCCTTTGAGAAATAGGATGACGCACGTAAATTGAGAAATGGTCCAAATTTTATTTCTTAGCATGGGGGGAAGGGGGGGGGGGGGGGGGGGGGAGGAGAAAGAAGAAGGGAAAAATAGGCCTGTTAGTCCATTTGTGTTTAGGGACCCGGTAGGTTACAGGAGTCCAGATTCGCCCGGAAGTGTGCAGTGCAGTCATTATTTCTGTTCATTGAACGTTATTCATTCTATTCCAGACTGTGGTAAATCGGACTTAGTCGGCTGCCCATTTGACGTCCGACGTCTGCTCTTAGGAAAGTCAGTGACCCTAAATCTGGGAAACAAAACAAATGTCGAAGGTTGACACACCCATTTATGCCGCCGGCAGCCTACCGGGTACCGGGGTCTACAGTCGCAAGGGCTGGGGAGTAGATGAATCATCATTTACAACAGCACAGCTGCAGTTCCTTTGAACCTTTAGTCCATTTGTGCTTGCTGGGAAAGGGCTACTGCCCTGCGGCGTGCGCGAGCGGGGGGGGGGGGGGGGGGGGGGGGGGGGGGGGGGGGGGGGGGGGGGGGGNGAGAGAGAGAGAGAGAGAGAGAGAGAGAGAGAGAGAGAGAGAGAGAGAGAGAGAGAGAGAGAGAGCATGACATATTTTTCTCTGGTCCTTTTTTTTTGTTTACTTAAAATTTCAAAAACGTTTTTTGAAGTTTTTTGTTGTGGTCGCGTTGTTGTGGAATATTTGTGGACGTCGACGTTCAGATGGACCCAAGCGCAGGTATTGAAGAGGAGTATCACCACAAGAAAAACAAAGTGAGTATTGTTCTAAAGCTCTCTTCTCGTTGTCCTTGTTTAGTCACAGTATCCCATTAGAGAATGCATCTCTTCTCTTTTTTCTACTAATAAAACTTACGGAAATTTGCTTGTATTTTAGAAATTCCGAAATTTATCTAGGCTACTTGACTCGGCCGGCCATGCAGCCAGCCCGGGCTAGCTGCCAGGGGGGTTCGCCTGCACGGGGCAACCCCCGTGCAGGTAAAAATGAGCCCTCTCTTTTGCTTTTTCCTTTTTTTGGGCTGGGGGTTTTCTGCGCATCCGCAGACGAGCTCAAATCTGGGTTCCTTCCTTTTTTCTGAAACGGTTCCACCCCCCCCGCTGACCCCGACATTGCAGACACCGAGATTCGATCCCTAGACCTGTGCCCTAACCCTGTACATAGAGGCCCAGCAATCTGTGTAGGACTTGATCCCTAGGAGTTGAGTCAGTTGCCAGTAGGTCTAAAGTGTAGTCTCTACTTAAGTCTCTACTTAAGTCTCTACTTAAGTCTCTACTTAAGTCTCTACTTAAGTCTCTACTTAAGTCTGCTGTGGTCCTAGAGTCTGTTTGTCGGTCTGTAGGTTCTAGAAGTCCGTAGGACCCTGTAGTCCAGTCCAGTCAGCAGGCACTAAGGGAAAGGGACGGCACGTGGGGACAGGGAAAGGCCTACGCGTTCCGGAGAAGACCCAGAAGACGCGTATGGGCCCAGGGGCCACACGGTTTGGCCCATGCGGTGAACAGAAGGCTCCAGAAACACGGTTTGGGGCTCAGCTGTCATGCGTTTTGGCCCAGGCCCACGTGGTTTGAGGCAGGGCCCGGGTACCCCCGAAGAAGTATAAATAAACAGGCAGCGTCCAGCCATTCATTCATTCGCCTGTGTGCCATGCGGAAGAGCTGCCTTCGTATCTTGTGCGTGGAGGACTGCAGGAGCCCGGAGAAGAAGCGGGCTGTGAAGAAGAGAGCGGCCATAGCGAACCGGCGAGGTAGACCCCGGCGGCCATAGCTCGGAGGAGGAAGATGCCGGCGGCCATAGCCGCCCAGCTGTTGGTATAGACAGGGTGTACAGAGTGTGTGTGCGTGTACAGCGTGGGCATTCAGGATGATCCTCGTACACGCGTGCAAGCGCGAGTTAGGGAGAGTGAGGCTGGTGGCAGAGACAGTGTTTGGCGGCCATAGCGGCAAGTTGTATATTTGATTCAGACTGAGTTTAATATCAGTTCATTGTTGTTCTGAGTGGGAAGAGTTCGCTTTTGCCATCAGTTCTCAAGTGTGCATGTTGTGAGCGAGTCCAGAGTCGAGTCTGATTGCATTCCGAGTGTTGGCTGTCGAGGCAGGAGGAGGTTATAAGTTGGTTTTGAAGGGGCTGAAGGCGGGTTTAAGGAAGGTGCCTTAGTCTTATTCTGTTTTGTTTTTGTTGTTTGGTCCACTTTGGACTTTGACTGTTGGGTCTGACAGTTGACTTTAGTCGACTGTATCTCGTCCAGGCCCTGAGTGTAGACGTGGGGTTCTTTTCCCCCCCTTTTGGCCTGGGTCTGAGTGCGGCCTGGCGAGGCCCTCAGACATTCCACGAGGCATACGGCTTGGGTTATTGCAGATGTACAAAATTGAAAGAAAAAGGAAAAAAAAAAAACATTTAAAAGGAGCAATATCCAGGATATACCCTGGGTAGCACGACGTACACACTTACACGTATCCCTGTACGTGACACGTACGCGCGTACACATACTCCCCGTACGTGGGAATACTTAAAAAAAAAAACATCGAAAGAATCTGAAAAAAAGTATGCTGTGCAAAATGATATTTCAAACAACTTTTGCCTGAGACTCATCTCGAAAATGAAAACAAAATTCTGTAACAAATATATCTTATGCAGAATCATGATAGGAGTCGTCCCCGAATTCCCAACCAAACTTGCATGTTCTGTCATGAACACGGTTCTGGCCGCTACGGGGTTCCCCGTATGCCTACAATTAGGAGGAGTGGTAGGTAGGTAGTGTGAGGTGAAATTGAGAGAAGAACATAGCTCTAAAAATAAAATAAAATAAATAAAAAAGGTAATTTTTTCATAATAAATTTAATAATTAAAAAACTATTTAAAAGTATTTTTAAAAAGTTCTATTTTTTTAAAGTTTTCTAACTTTTCTTAGGTTTTTTATTTTTAAATCGAGCTTGGTTGGGAATTCGGGCCTGACTCCCAGGCAAAAAGTTGTTTGTATTCTCATTCTGCACAACATACTTTTTTTCCGATTTTTTTTTTTTTTTTTTTTTTTTTTTTTTTTTCGTACGTGTACATGCGATGTTGGGTTCGTATGTGTCCCTGGAATACGTACGCATATGCGTACGGGTACTACCCAACTTACACCGTTGTACGTTTTTTTTGTTTTTTTTTTTGGGCAAGGTTCCCAAATCGTGGGTTCTTTCGTTGGCTGGAATTCAAGCAGCATTAAACCACCAGTGCTTGGCCCAGTTATAGGCCGTGGAAAAACATAGAGAAGAAACGTCTCTAGTCGGATGAATTTGGGCGCTCCTGTAGTGGCCTGCACATTTCCTAAAATCGTTGCTTGTTAACGGGCACGACTTAAGGAAGTGCTGGTGGTTAAACACAAAACAAAAAGGCAGCATATCAAGGGCATAACTCTGTGTCGTCTTCCGTTTGTGCAGGTCTACTGCTGGCGTGGGTTGCGGCTGAATGCCCGACAAGAACTAGACCTGTTCGCCAAGGTACTCTCCCTCTCTCTCTCTCTCTCTCTCTCCCTCTGTGTGTGTGTGTGTGTGTGTGTGTGTGTGTGTGTGTGTGTGGGTGTGTGTGTGTGCGTGTGTGTGTGCGTGTGTGTGTGTGTGCCTGTAGATCTGTGTGTGTGTGTGTGTGTGTGTCTGTGTAGATCTCAGTGTGTGTGTGTGTAGGTACTCTTGAATTGCAGAATTTATATAGATATATCATATATACGTATCAAAAATCAAAATGTTTTGTTTTATTTAGTTTTACAGTATACCAATAAAGTGTAAGAATCTTTCTTTAGTTTAAACACTGTCACAAAAACCCTATTGAATCTTTGTTTTTTGGAGTATTAATGAATTATTCATTTTTTAATTTCATTGTAAATAGTATGCTGCTTACAGTTCGAACAAAATTTTGTGTGTGTTTGTGTCTGTGTGTGTGTAGATCTCAGTGTGTGTGTGTGTGTGTGTAGATCTCATTGAAGTCATGTTTACTCAAATTCATTCTGTGCACAGTCTGAAGTTACTACCTTCTCCTCGTTGCGCGTAGCTGCCGCAAAAACTAATGAAGTTGTCCGCCGGGGTAAAAATGGCATAAGATAAAAGACATTGAAAACAGTCTTTTTAGGCCCCCATTGAGCCACAGAATAGCCGAAAGAGAATTGGGGCTAACCCAACTTGGTTGTGCTGTTCACTGATATATAGAAAGATCCATTCACATTTTTCAGATTTTGTTGATAAGTGCCCGGTGTTTTTTTTTCCCTGTTCTATCTCTGTGGAAGGTGACCGAGCAAGGCATAGAGGGCGCCGTCCCGGCTCAATTGCTTCCGGAGAAGAAGCGGCAGCAAACGGCAGGAAAGCAGACGTCGCCGACTGTGAAACAAGCACGAGTGGAGAAGAAAGACGAGCAGGCAGAGCGACCTCCAGCGACGCAAGCGCAGGTGCAAAAACCTTCGTGCATCACCTATGCTTCACTGTTCATCATCATCATCATCATCATCTACATTGCCAAACGTACACGTACGGGGCCTCTGTGTACGAAAAGTACAGATAATATCTGTACAGGACCTGTACGGGAACCTGTACGTCATCTCATATGTTTTGTACTCCAGCTTACAGTGAAAACAAAAAGCAAAAAAACCTGAAAAAGAAGGAAAAGAAAAAGTTATGCACAAGCACAAAGCAAGCAATATTTGGCTGAGCATCATCTGCAGATTCTTTTTAGAATATAGTAAGAAAAAAGCATACTTGCAGCGCACCGGCACTGTGCGCTGCGCAGCGCGCTGTGCACGGACCCGAGGTGCGCGTGCACCAGCGCGGGCCGTGCATCTGGGTGCGCAGTGCACGCTGCAAGGTGCGCTGCACACGTCTGGTGTGCTGCGCGCGTGTGCGCAATGTGTATTTCCATGTTCTAGCAGTAGATTCATTCGATTTTGCTCATGCTATCGATGGAAGTACCAGGAGGCCAGCCGCGAGGTTGGAGACTTACCTGCTCTCTCTCTCTCTCTCTCTCTCTCTCCCCTCCCGACTTCGTCCGCCGCTTCCCACCATCCCACCTTCGGCCGTTCTCCCGCCTTCCGCCATCCATCATCGCTACCTCTCTCTCTCTCCTTCTCTCTCTCTCTCTCCTTCTCTCTCTCTCTCTCTCTCTCTCTCTCTCTCTCTCTCTCTCTCTCTCTC